CTTTTTTACACCTAATTGTTCATGCAAGATTATTTGTATTTGACTCATGCCAAAGTCTAAAGTTGCCTGAATTTCGCGGTATGTCACATGTCGATCTTTCTCAATCAGCTTACCCACAGCATCAACGTATTACCTTGGGTGACTGCAGTTTTTGGATGACCTTGACGGGGATCATCACTGAGCTTGACACGTCCACGTTGAAATTCAGCAAACCACAGCGATAAATTGTGGTTTTGGATGGGGCTTCATCACCAAATGCAGAAATCATCCGGTCAACACACTGTTTTTGTGTTAAACCACTTCGAAAGTAATAAAAATGGTGTTCGCGTAAATATAAGAAATCAGAATGTGAGTATTCCTACTATAAATATGTTTAAGAAGGTCCATCGACGTATTTTTTCTTAAACAAATGTGACGTTGTCAAGTGTTTTGATAGAAGATAGTACTGTTTTAGCAAATAATGCTAATCGTTTCTTTTTCTATTTTTATATAATGTGTTTAATCTTTTACTTTCTTTATAAATTTGTATACAATTTTTTGAAACATTTTTAAGTTTTTGACAATATGGTTCAAACTACGGTAAGTTTTTGTATTTTATGCTTTGGAAAGACTTACCCTTCTGGTAGACGACGACCCGTGATGAAGACAATGGAGATAGAGCCATTGGAGAAACTGCTATTATTATATTGGGGTATTTATATACTTTTCTCATCTGGATAGGCTGTTTAGATATATAAATGAATATAAATATACATAAACATCAATAACATAAAATAAATACATAAAGATAACCAACCAGAGGGAAGCTCTCGGCAGGGCGACCAAACGGCCAAGGGTTAGAGGGAAAGGGAAAGAAACCAGCGAACGATGCGGGCTGTATCGAGGAGCATCGCCTTCTGCGTTTGAGCTATTATTATTGTTAATGTTTAAAGAAACGAGAAACGTAACCTCCACACTGGATTTTTTTACTGTATCGTGGGGGTAGTTTACATAAATAAATATCCTACGGATAAATATTCATGAACCGGAAAAATATTATTTACTTAAAGCTCTTTATAGGAATTATAAATGGTACAAAATATACACCTGCTCAGGAAAATCACTTCCAATAAGTATGTCTGTGTAGATACCACCATTTTACCTACTTCTGGCAGAAAACACCAGTGGTGGATAAGGTTAATTTTCGCGGCCTGGATGAGATCCAATTTCTGGTGCGGTGCGGATATACTAGAATGATGGCTAAAATAGTGTTTTGGCTTAAATGACTAGCTGGTGGGTCAGAGTTATGAAAAGGATGATTTTACCTAGATTACGGACTGTATGAGGCGGTAAGAATATACTATTTGGCGATACTGCCAATGTCCCTAAATTCGGGCTATAGGAAATATGTGAACACGTTGGTTGGATAACGGTTGTCTTCACTCACACAACTTTTACAGATTATCCGCGAAATATACATCGACCACTAATAAAAAAACTAGATATACAATCCCATGCAACAGTTTTCTAAAAACTGTCGCCAATGGTATTGACGTAATTCTAGTTGAAATAAATATACATTAATGTAAATTCAACCTTAAATGCATTGCCTAAAGTTGTATTCACAAAGCTACGTACAAATTTAAAGCGCACCCAAATCTTCGAGTGGGCGCTCATTCGGTAAGGACATTTTTTGTCACTGAATATATATCTAGTTTTTTTATTAGTGATCGATGGAAATATAGCTTAATTTAATTATTGCAAAATGTCTATACACTTTGTTAAGTTTTTGTATAGTTCAATATCTAAACCACACAAGTGCGAGAGCGAATACGCGACTAGGCGGTGCGGTTGGTTACATAACTTGCGAGCTTGTGAGCTGTGTTCCTAAATAAAATTGAAGGGACAAACGAACACAAGTCATCTGATAGTAAGTGACCACTGCGTTCCATGGACACCTGCAATCACCTTAAAACAAAAAAGGCTACAGATTTGTTGTCTCCTCTGAGGACTATGATGGAATGCCTTACAACCTGGTTCCCTATACCACTCAGATCGGAATACAGCAGTATAGGCTGTATTCCGATCCGATCCTGGTATTCAGCTGCTGATAAAGGAAAGAGGGACTTTTCCACAATGAAAATTATGACATTGAATAACTTATACTTTTTTCTTATAGGAGAGGGGGCAAACGAGCATGCGGCTCACCTCATGGTAAGTGACTACCGCCGCCCATGAACAACCGCAACACCAGGGCAACCGCAGATGCGTTGCCGGCCTTTCAAAAAGGAGTAGGCTCTTTTCTTGAGAGTCCCTAAGTCGTATCGGTCCGGAAGTTGTGCGAGGAAGAAAACATGTTCTAAATCGCACAGTGGTGGACCACCAATCATCCAGGTGGTATGGATGGTATCGCAAGTTTTGTCGCGATGTGCGATGGTGAAATTGAGCGGCTGGAATTAGTTCGAACAATTCCTCAGAACACTCCCCATGGTAAATGCGATAAAATACGCAAAGAGATGCAACAATCTCTACGCAGTGCCAGTGTATCGAGCCGGTCAGAAAGAACTCGGTCGTCGACGATTCGAACCGCTCTGCGCTGGATTCGGTCAAGCGGAAGGAGCTGGCACTGGGTTGCTCCGGCCCAGAGATGAGAACAGTATTCCATGTGAGGCCGGATAAGCGCTTTGTAAAGTTGCAAGCGATGTGCCGGCAGGAAATACTATCTCGGTCTTCTAAGCACACCAAGCTTTTTAGAGGCCAATTTGGCCTTCCCTTCTAAGTGACCACGAAACTGCACACTATTCAATATGTCGACGCCGAGGATTCCGATGCTAGCTGAGGCAGCAAGGGGATTGCCTTGAAACTGAGGACATACGACAAAGGGGTTCTTTTTATCGGTAAACGCGCAAACTTGTGTCTTCTGGGAATTGAACTGGACTAGATTTAGTCGCCCTCAATCCGAGACTTTGTCAAGCAAAGACTTGACTTCAGACACAAGTTTGTCCCGGTACTCGGCGACGTTTTCCCGAGAAATATTGGCACGGCCGGTATATAAGGCATCACCAGTGCTGTCGTCTGCATAGCAATGAATGTTACTAGTTTGCAATATATCAATGATATGCACGAGAAACAGCGTTGGTGATATCACGCAGCCTTGTGGAAGACCAGCGTTGATAGGCTTGAAATCAGAGCATGCACCGTCTACTACGACCTTGATGCTCCGATCAGCAAGGAAACTGGTGATCCTTTTGTACAATTTCTCGGGAAGCCCAAAGGAAGGAAGCTTCGAAAGAAGCGTTTTGTGCCAGACCCGATTCAAGGCCTTCGCTATGTCCAAACTAACGGCCAACGCCTCCTCCTTGGACTCTACTGCCTCCACCCATCTGTGAGTCAGGTAGACCAGAAGATCACCAGCTGATCGACCCCGACGAAAACCGTATTGGCGGTCACTAATCAGCTGGTGATGCTCAAGGTACCTCATGAGCTGGCAGTTTAAAATGGATTACATTATTTTGGAGAACAAGGAGGTTATGGCGATAGGCCTGTAGTTAGATGGGTCTGAGCGGTCGCCTTTTTTAGGGATCGGGTGGACCAAAGCTGTCTTCCATGAATTTGGGACTACGCCTTGGTAGTAAGTGTACCGGAAAAGACGCGTTAAAACCGGTGCCAACTCTGGAGCACAGGTCTTCAGCACAATGGGAGGGACTGATGTCCTGGTAGAAGAGTTCTTTACGAACCGAGCGCTGTGTAAATCGCACATCTGGCATGGAGCACTCACACCGCGGTATAGTCGGCGGTGTGTTTCCCCCATTATCTAGAGTCGAGATGGACGTAAAGAGAGAGCTTAAAAGATCGGCTTTCTCCTTTGCGGCATGTTCCAGTGAGTCGTCCTCTCTGTGCAGAGATGGAAGAGATGACTGACAGAAGTTCTCTTGGACAGCCTTGGCGAGAGACCAGAATGCACAGGTTCCCGAAGGAAGGCGAACTAGCTTCTCGCCAATTCTGCCAATGTGCTCAGACCTTGCCATGGCAATGACGCTTTTGAAGGACCTGGAGGCGGAATTATACTTCTTTTTAAGTGCGCTGGTATTTACATCCCGAGACGTTGATGCGTCAGCCCAAGCCCGGTAGCACTCCTGCTTATAGCGTGATGCTATTTTACAGGAGCGACCAAACCATGGCAGGGATCTGCCTCCGATGGGCACCACAGAGGATGGAATAAAAAGTTCCATACCCTAAAGTACCACATCAGCAACAGAATCGGCAACAACGCTGGGATCTTCCAACAAGAAACAAACCCGCGTCCAAGGGTAGGATGCAAAAAAAGACCGCATCCCGTTCCAATCGGCTGACCTATAGTGCCAAACACAGCGGCAAGCTGCATCCGCGTAAGCGAAGTAACCAGTTGTGTTAGACCATAAGCCAAGGCAAAGTCATAGACAGATCTACCCGCATGATCGGTTAAACGGGAACCAAGCTATTCAGCGTGATTGGGCGTTAAAATCATCGAGTACCAAGATCTCTGCGGATGGGACCTGTTGTAGCACGGAGTCTGCAGCCATTTGGACATGGTCGATGAGTCGGTCTATGTCTGCATTACTGCTATGGGACCTGTACATAGATACACCCGTAGATGCGGGGATGGTCGTCACTGTCTACGCGTAGCCATAGGATGGACAGGTCCGTACCTTCAAGACTATCGAGGCGTCGAAAACAGATGTTCTCTCTGACGTATACGCAAACCCCAGCCCGAGGCACAAAGAAGTGTTCTAATTTGTACCCCGGGTAGAAGAGATATGAAGTATCAGCCGGAGAGGACACCTGAGTCTCGGTCAAAAAGAGCAAGGCCGGCTTCGCCGTCTCTAGATGGTAATGGACAGCGTTAAGGTTGGAATGAAGTCCCCTGATGTTGCAAAAATTCACGGATAGCGTAACAGGGGTCGCCTTGGTCTTATTGCTCCGCTTGCCCCGAGCAGTATTAGTCGCGAGCGGAATTTTGCCCACAGAATACGCGAGGCAGTCTGAGCACCCACGTTCAGGAGTGGAGTAGTTTGGTCGTGGATGCTCAGCGAGGGGTGCTGGTACCCTCCTGGGGTAGTCTTTTCTTTAATTCCGTTACCATGTTAATTGGGACGGGGGGGGGGGGGGAATTGGGCCTCCGGCCAACTGTACTCACCAAGCGCAACGCAGAGGTAAACCTCTACTTCACGCTGGTATTCTGTGAGATCATCGTACCACCCCGGTTTGAGCCGGCCCATCCGTGCGACAGTAAAAAGCTGCCGCGTGGCTCTACCACTGTTAAAATTATACTTGGATGTTTTTATATGATTCTGTAGTATCAAACATTTTTGATATAATATTAAATTATTTTATAGGATATTAAATTATTTTATAGGATGTGGGTGACAAACGAGCACACAGTCCACCTGATTGTAAATGGATGCTGTAGTCCATAGACATCTCCATATATCCTCGATTACGAATAAAAATGCAGATGCGTTGTCACCCGTTAGGACTCATATGGAATGCCTCTTATCCAGTAAAAAGGGTCTCCGGTTCTCTACACTCACCATGCGAAACACAGCAGTGTTAAGCTGCTATTTTACGCTGGTATTCTGTGAGAGCGTCGTTCTTCCCCGGTCGAGCCAACCCATTCGTGCTACAACTATACTAATAATATAGCTGCTGCATGGCTCTACCACGTGCAGAAACTTACATACTTTCTTTTCGTTCTAGGGAGATCGACGAAGCACAGAGGTATGATTTTAAAACTTTCTATTACATACATACTTTATTTTGAGCTATGACTTAAAAAAATCTCTTATAAAATGGAAGCTAATTATAGTGTTCTTGCCTGTGTTGGCGGCGTTAGATTATTCATCACCTCATTTCCTTCCGTGGGTGCGTAAGAGGTGACAGAAGGAAACAAATAAGGAGATGGGCAACGTCTTCCTAATAACGATTAAAAATAAAAAAAACTGATGTTGTCAACCCACTTGCCCAGCGTGGCAACTGTGGCAAATAGCCCACCTATGGGGCCATCTATGGGGAAGGAGGCTTGGTGTGGTGAGAGGCGATAATGAGAAATGTAAAGTCTTAAACACTTCGATAGATGGCGGTGTACCATCTTGTTTACGCCAGACGTAATGTACTAAAACCGGTGAAGGGCAGCAGTGTCAAAGGTGGGAGACGTGTACTGTGATCGTTTATCTTCCTGACAAGCGTGTCGATTAAGGATGAGCCTTAATCGCCACGTTGATAGCCTTCCTACAACGGGTGAGGTCTTTGTCCTGAATCGGACACGCTGACGAATTGTAGTTAAGCGCTGGCTTAGAATATTTAAAAAATAAAATTTTGACTGTACAAAGTTAGTATAAATGAGACGTATAATGAGAAGTATAAATGATAAGTATTAATGTAGATCCTACAACCAACCTTTTATCACTTTTAATGAAAGGGTGTTAGGGCAGAAAGAAGTCCGTAGTACTGTTCTAAGGCGTACTAACGAACTTTGCATGAAGACACAGTGTGCACAACCCTACTTCATTTTTGGAAGGATATTAAAACCAGAATACGTGGCAGTCACTATTCAGATTGAACATATGCTAGATTTTGTTTACTAATATGCAGTTCAATTCCAAAGAATACCAACACGTCTGACGAAAGTGCCCCCGCGCCTCAAAGCACGACGCGACAACGTGGACATCGACGCACGTTCGAGATCAAAGCAACCCCCCAAGCGGCATACGATTGGGACTTCAACTCTGCGCGGCCGCCTGGAAAGAGGACCAAGTGAGTAGACGTAGTTCTAGCCTCTTGACTCCCTCGTAGGTTCAGTGGTCGTAAACGCGGCTGCTGATAAATCTCTGGTCGGGACAGAAATCAGTTTTTGAGTTTTTCTGTTCAGAAATTCTCAGTAGTAGCGCGGAGTTAGGAAATTGGCTGTGTTTCACCCACGTGCCACGGAAAGCACGTTAAGCCAATATTACACGGATCAACCAAATTGAAACATTTCCATTGAAAAGCATTGAACATTGCACATTGAGCGGGTTTACCAATATACACGTAAATCATTTAAATGACATTCAATGTTCACGGCGCAATGATATGTCGCGCCAACTCGTACGTGCGGGAATTTCGTAGGGTGTAGGAGTGGGGATGACTCTTAATTGCCTCCTTAATTGTGATGTGTGTATGTAAGCAGTGGCAATTTTTTAAGTCGGCCCTGCGGCCTTCGATATTGCTCCGATCGCTGTGCTCCCTAGATTGCCCCTGCGGCAGGCATGTCTATTAATAAATGAGTTAAATAATTCAAAAAAAGAAAACCTCGGCGTTGGTGGGTGTGGCCGCGGATTTCGAGAAGGATAATTAAAGGAGCCTCAAGCACCTTATTAGTAGAATTGGCAGAAGAAGACCCAAATTCTTATTTGAACCAATTGCGAATGACAAAAGTCAATATAATGAACTTCTTAAAACCCATTTTCACGCCACTTGAAAACCATTTTCGAAAATCCCTGTGCGCACGCTAAATAGGTGTCGTGCGGTGCTCGGAATGAGTCACCGTTCAATCTTCATGTATACACGTTTCAACAGCATTGAACAATGACCAGTATTGCTACCAATGCATTGAAAGCATTCGGTGAATTTAAACTTTCAATGAGATGACGCAATCACATTGAAATGTATTTAAATGTCTGAATGCCATTGAAGCAATGAAATTGAAATCAGTATTGAACCGAAATTGATCCGGCTTTAAAGCCGATATTACACGGATCAACCAAATTGAAACAATTCCATTGAAAAGTATTGAACATTGTACATTGAACGACTTTACCAATATACACGTAAATCATTTAAATGCCATTCAATGTTCACAGCGCAATGAGATGTCGCGCCAACAACGGAAATTTCGTTAATCTGCTACTCTGCTACTATTTAATAAATGAGTTAAATAATAAAAAAACATGCGTGAGTGTCGTGGAACACTCGGTTGGAACGAAGTTCCTTTCATAGTATATTATTAATGAGAAACGTATTATATTATTGATTAACAAAATAAATACAAATAAATAAATAACTAGCGTCTATTAAAATGAAGCGTCATTTAAAATAAAAAATAAAGTTCCTTTCGTAGTGTATTATTATTGATAAACGTATTATATTATTGATTAACAAATACAAAAAAATAAATAATACAAATAAAAAAATTTTGCACACTATGACACAAGGGGTAGTGACGAAAATATCTTACACTTCTTGTCGCCTAGCTCCCAAGCGCCAAACCCGTACCGTCCGTTCAAACTTCGTTCCAAAAAAAGAAACTCTCGGCGTTGGTGGGTGTGCCCGTGCATTTTGAGAAGGATAACTAAAGGAGCCTCAAGCACCTTATTAGTATAATTGGCAGAAGATCCAAATTCTTATTTGAACCATTTATGAATGACAGTGTCAATATAATGAAACTTCTGAAAACCCATTTTCACGCCACAAAATCTTTGTGCACACGCAAAATAGGTGTCGTGCGGTGCGTGAAATGAGTCATCTTACAATCTTCATGTATACACGTTTCAACCGCATTGAACAATGACCAATATTGCTACCATTGCATTGAAAGCGTTCGTTGAATCTAAGCTTTCAATGAGATTACGCGATCGCATTGAAATGTATTTAGATGTATCAATGCCATTGAAGCAATGAAATTGAAAGCAGTATTGAACCGAAATTGATCCGTGTAATATCGGCTTAAGCCGTTGGTCCTGCGCTTCATATCTCATATTTCCAACGGACTATGACGAGTGAGGGAATAGATAGTGCACCTGAGCTTGCACTTCGGTAAGGGCGTCCAGTCTCAACGGGAAATAAGATTTATTTCAGGAATGTTCCAAAATAAATTTGTAGAAAAAATTCCATCCCTAAGGGAATATTTTAATTTTTAATTTAGACGACAACCTAGTTGTTACCTCGTACTTTTGACATTCCTTACATGCAGGGTTATTTTGCAATAACCGGCCAAATTTGCAAAGAGACAAATGGCGACGAAAAATTATTTTTAAAAAAATCTCAAATTTTCTGTCCTTTTTATCTTTTAAACTCTAAATGCGTGATAATACAATATTTCAACTGATTTTACTGTGCACGTATACATTCGTAAGGGTCGATCGGTAGGCTAAAACGTTGTTGTCCATAAATCGCATTCAATTTGGGATAATCTATAATATAAAAATGAATTGCTGGATGTGTTGCTAAGCGCAAATCTCGAGAGCAGCTGAACCGATTTCGCTAATTCTTTTTTTATTATATTCCTTGAAGTACGAAGATGGTTCTTACAAGAGAAACATTTAAAAAATTGCCTGAAAAAGTATAAAAGCAACACATTTCTATATTCCCATACAAAAGATTCGTAATAATACTTAAAATTCAATTTGAACTTTAATACCATACCATAAAGTTTAAGTGTAAGTGGAGGGGTTCCGAGAAGGCAAAACAATTATAATTTTTATTTTTTGACATAATGTAATTGTTGACTTATCAACTTTCTTTTTTCTATTTTTTATCTTACTAGCGGACCCGGTGTCCCGAATAGCAGAATAAGTATTAAAAAAAAATAAAGAATCGACTGTTAGACGGTAAGAAGTTCGCCCGGTACTCGTATTTACTGCAGTAATCATTATTTATATATTTGAACTTAAGTTTAATTTTGCTACTCTTTGAAAAATAACCCTGTTTATTTTTATACACAGACAAAAAGACGGCACATTTATTTTTATTACAAAAGGTGATTTAACGATACTTCCCGTTCAAAGTATGATTTAAAATGAGTCCTTCTAACGAAATGATTACAGAAGTCGCTTAGCCGCAGTCTTCGTGACATTTAACATTTGCTATCAAACTAACTTCACATCTTAGTTCGTATATTAAATAAACTACATACAAACATAACTTACTTTTTCTAATAAGTTCGATTATGTTTTATCAAATTTTTACGTGGTAGAACCATGCTGCAGCTATATTACTGATATAATTGTAGCACGAATGGATCGGCTCGACCGGGGAAGGACCACGCTCTCACAGAATAGCGTAAAATATCAGCTTAACGCTGCTGTGTTTCGTATGGTGAGTGTAGAGAACCGGAGACCCTTTTTACTGGAAACGAGGCATTCCATCTTAGTCCTCACGGGTGACAACGCATCTGCATTTTGATTCGTCATCGTGGATTGATGTAGATGTCTATGGGCCACTGCAACCACTTACCATCAGGTGGACTGTGTGCTCGTTTGTCACCCTTATCCTATATAAATAAAAGTTACGTTTCATTAAATTATGCTAGTCCACGTATGTATTAACATTATTCTTTATTATTTTGCGGATAAAATATAGTCTAGATTACTCCGGGTATAAATATGTTCGTAATTTTCCTTCGGCTGTATATACTATGTTCCTAAATTTTCATTACAATCGGTTCAGCCATCTCGAATATTATCCGAGACAGACAGACAGATTTAGTTTTATGAATGGTCATTCATGTTTTATTTAAAATAAAATAACCCCACCAGCTCAATAAAAGGCAGTTATTACGATATTAGAGATAGACACTACAGTTTTATTTATATGTAATGATCAGGAATGGAAAAATAATGATTTTTTAATTTTAATCGAATCATGCTGATTTTTTAAAATGCATCATGACTTTTTTTTTTAAATATTTTGGAATTCACGAGTTGGTAATACTTTTTGACATAGTAGGATTAAAAGTTTATGAATAGAAGAGTAATACTGTATTAATTACAGTTGTATCTTTAGGATGAATTTCTAAAAAAAATTTTTGGTTCATTTTATTAAGTTTATGAGATTGACAGACCTCATCGCTACGTCTTTGATGATTTTCCAAAGTTTATGAGACTATTGTAGTAGAATAATCACAAATAATAACAAAAAACAATAAAAGATTTTACCTTACTTTAAGTCAGTTTTATTTCATTTTCTGTCTGTTACATTAATTTATACATGTTGATTTAAATCAATGATTTTTTTTAATCAAAATCAAGCGATTTAAATCAGTCTTATTCCTTGAGTTATATGTACTAGAGAAGCCATTCCAAACAAAAATTGTGTCCTACTCTATGTCTTCGCGCATGCTCGAGAGTAGTAGTCGCGCATGCGTGAAGACTTTAATTTAATATAAAATAAGATATTAATATACAATAAATATAAGAATTTAATATAAAATATCTTAATTTAATCTAAACAAACATATTTCTAAACAAAATGTAATAATAATTATTTTATGGAATTCAGAAATCTTCAATTTACGCAATATTTAGTTTGTATGGATTGCACTACAGTTCAGTTGAACATAGTCAATTTTCGGAATGGCTTCTCTAATACGTAGTACATATAACTCAATGGTCTGATTTAAATCAGCCAACCCTGGTAATGATAACATAATATACGCACGTGATTTAGGTACTCAAACAGACGATGAAGTGTTACTAAGTACCTTAAATAAAAGCAAATTTTCTTACAGTATTATTGAGTCCATCGGGCATCTCATCAAAAGCTGCCTTGGCGGCGGACTCTTGGCGATTCATGAAGCATATAAACAATGCGGTTTGGCGACTTCGTTTTTTCTAACGATTATTTTGGGCTTTCTGGTCAGCTACTGTATGTTTGTAAGTTTTAAACTTTGGTGTATCCCAGGGTTCAGTACTTGGACCCTTACTTTTTCTTTTATATATAGAAAACATTGTTATTATTATAAACCAATTTTTATTTTGTTTTTGGATTAATAATTTTCTACCTTGCCAAAAATAGATATTTTTGACCACAATCGCCACGATGGGCAGGAAAATTTAAGGTTGCTGTAGCAGTAGTTTCAAACTTTAGACGATGTTTGACGTATGTGAACACTGAGGGACCATGGCGGGAAAGCGAAATGAATTGCTAAGGATTTGGTAGTAGACCTAAAACAATTGTTTTTTTTTTATAGGATAGTGTGTGAGCCATCAGTCCACCTGATGGTTAATGGTTGCTGTGACCCATAGGCATCTACATTTATCCTTAATAAAGAATCAAAATGCAGATGCGTCGTCATCCGTGAGGACTAAGATGGAATGCCTCTTTTCCAATAAAATGGGTCACCGGTTCTCTAGACTCACCATACGAAACACAGCAGTATCAAGCTGCTATTTTACGCTGGTATTCTGTGAGAGCGTGGTGCTTCCCCGGTCGAGCCGACCCATTTGTGCTACAACTATATTACTAACATAGCTGCAGCATGGCTCTACCGCGTATGAAAATTATATTAATTCTATGTAAATAACAACACGACATATTTTTTTTTCTTAAGTCTTCAGGAGTTATATAGAATTATTAGTAAATAGTTTTTAATGATTTCTTAATGATTTCTTATATTTACGCGAAGACTACACATTAAATAAAACTAATTTTTACGCATTTTATCGCGATTAATTTAACTTTTTAATTCCCGACATTTCGGGCGCTTTACAGTACCCATGGTCACGGGGGGACTGAGGTCTTTGACGTCCCGATGTCATAGTTAGTCTTCAAACCTTCAGTTTTTGAATATTAATTTTTCATTTTTCATCTTGAAGTCTTGCAGTTTACTTGGGTTTGGATTTAATTTTATTAATTATAGGATTCCAAGCAGATGTCAGCACCCATCCATCTTCTCTATTTAAATTAGGATATTTTTTTTTATTTCAATAGCCTCGCAAATTATCCTGATTAACTACCGGTGTTCCTTTGCGAGGATTTGTGGTCTATCTAATGTAATGGCGGGGACGATCTTGATAATGTTCACACACCGCAGACTTCCCGGAACGTCGTTTATATAGATACAATTTCGGATACGCTTTACAAAAACATACACTTAAAACTTCAATATATAATGTTAGCTCGTTCTGTGTATATCAAAAATTAACATTTAAAATTTGTAGGTAGCCTTCGTTACCTATGAAATCAAGACGTTAGACACCTCAGTCTTCCTCCCCCCCCCCCCCTCCGTGACCATGGATGCTATAAAGCACCCGGAACGTTGGAAATTACAAAAAGTTAAAATTGTGCACGATATACATACCAGTAAAATTTGTTGTATTCCAAGTCAAGTATAAAATATATTAAATCACTAGCTGTTCCCCGCAAATTCGCCTTATTAGATTTTAATTTTTTTTTTTGCGCATAAACCTAGTTTTTTTGTCAAAAATAAAAATATCCTATATTACGCTTTATAACATCAGCTACTTATCTGCCAGTGAAAGTCCCATCAAAATTGGTCCGGCCGTTTTAGAGATTAGTCGGAACAAACAGACATACAGACAAAAATTTTAAAAATTGTGTTTTTGTTATAAGTGCCGTATATATACTTTCACATAAATTTAGCAAAAAGCTGTTATTTTGACATTGCAAACAGACACCTCAATTTTATTTCTTTGTATAGACTACCTTTAACTGTTTAAAACCTTCTGTCTGTAGCCGGTATCGGAAAATGAAATTATCTATACAAATAAATATAATTGGAGTGTCTGTTTGTAACGTCAAACTAACAGTTTTTCACATTTAGTGCATTAAAGTATATGAAAATAGCATATGAAAGTATATATACTTTCATACATCACCTTATAATGTACTTACAATAAAAACACAATTTTTTTAATTTTTGTCTGTCTGTCTGTCTCTCTGTCGGTTTGTTCCGACTAATAACCGAAACGGGATTTTGATGGGACTTTCCCTGGCAGACAGCTGATGTTATAAGGAGTAACTTAGGCTATTTTTGTTTTAGAAAAAGAATTAGGGTTCCGCGCAGAAAAATTTAAAACCTAAATTACACGCGGGCGATGTCGCGGGTAACAGCTGGTATATCATAAGATTTTTCGGGAATTTTCTAGTCTCCTCTTACGACATCCCGGGGATAAAATTCCCGTACGCCGCCACTACACGTCAGGATACCGCTGGATGAGACTGATGCCCTAATACTCAAACGATACTCAATTTTAAGACGCCATTATGTCTCGTGCTCTCTTCTCACTTTAAGTCAAAGTGACTGTGACACCACGAGATTTAACGACAACATTAAATTAATAGAATCAGGCGTTACTTTGCGGAAATCCATTATATAAAAGCTTTTAGAAAAATTTACTTCGCAAATATCCACGTTATAAAACCACCGTAGAGTCTATATCACCTGAGGATGCCTCGTGTAGAGGCGAAACACGTGTCGTATTATCGTGAGTGGTGTGTCTTGCCTAGTGTAGTGGTGTTGGGAGTAGCGGTGCTGGGATTAGTGGTGACGGGGATAGTGCACGCAATTGAGGGAGGGCGGGAGGTGCTCTTCATACTAGGTAAGACACATCATTTTATTTTATAACGCGGATATTTGCGAAGTAAATTTTTCTAAAAGCTTTTAGACAACATTAAAATTGAGTAGAGTTTGTGTATTTGGTCATGAACGCCTTATTTTCTACCGACTTCAAACAGGAGGAGGTACTCAATTCGACTGTAAGTTTTTTTTATGTGTATACCTCGTAACTTCTTTCCGGTTGAACCGATATCGATGATTTTATTTGAAAGATGGTGCTTCACATGTAGTCCCATATAAATTTCATCAAGGTCTGACCAATAGTTTTTGAGTTATTCTTAATAATTTATATTGAAGTAGGTTGTACAAAATGTTTTAATTTTAAATTATATTTATTTTAGATGCTTGCAAAATCAGCTCAAAAGATTTATGGACGTGTCCAAATACCCGCCATGTCATATCCAGATCTCGCCGAGACTGCACTGGCGATTGGTCCTTTTCAGAGGTTAAGGAAGTTCAGCCGATGTTTTAGGTAATGCCAATTACCAGCTCAGCTTTTTTATATTTCGCGAGTTCTTAGACGTTCTTTAAGAACTAAAATGCGTTTTCAGTGTCACCACTGAGATGTTCTCAGTGGTGACACTGAAAACGCATTTTTCTCTATTCTCTATTCTTCCTCTATTCTCTATTCTCACCATACGAATCACAAGAGAATATTAAAATCCTGCATTTTAATTCTTATTCGAGGACCAATGTAGATGTGTATGGACCACAGTATCCACTTAACCTTATTCTACAAAAAAACGACGTTTTTCAGGTACGCCGTGGATTTTACGATATGCGTAGATTTATTCGGGTCCTGCTGCGTTTACCAAGTAATGATATGTCGGACCATCAAGCAGCTAGTGGAGGGCACCGATGAGATCAGCAACGAGGGCAACCCTCCTCTCAGAGTCTACATCTTGGCGATCATGATTCCCTGCCTTTTGATCTGTATGATCACTACGCTGAAGTATCTCGCACCTTTCTCAATTGCCGCCGATATATTCATAGGTTAGTCCATATTTATTTTATGTATTTTATTGCACGCTTCATAACGCACAGGGCTACTAGGTGTGCTTTACCTTTGACACGTCAAGGTCAAGCAATTGTATGTCCTTAAAATGCCTCTATTATAACTATATTGCATTTATACGATAATATGAGTAGCCGTATATCAAGAAAACACTCTAAATCTCTCATAAAAAATTTTACGTGGACGTCCAGATGTTGATTTTGTATGTGGTCACCATAACTCCCGAAAAAATTGATATATGAGTATTGAGACCGGGTTTTTTTATTAGCTTCAAATTTACATCAACTGGTTTCCTATTTCATATCAATAGCTAGTACACGTAGTTCATTAATAAAGTGATTTTTTATTGCTATTAAAATTTTAAACGCGCTTTCATATATATTTTTAGCCCTTGATAGACAAAGGACAAATGTACCATACAGATTTATTTTAGTAAACATTATTAATTTTTTCACTGGAAGTGACACTACCTGTTAAAATAATAGAGCACTAAATTTAAAACACGTAAATAATACTTACATTTTGAAAGTCAGGATACAATTTTTTTTTCATCAAAATTAAATGTAACGCTCATAAGGCGTGCACATTTGGATTTTCCAAACTATTTTTTACTTTAACATATAAAAATGAAACTGAAATATCTTTCTATAATATCAAAATAACAGGCTCCTATTAACCTCGGGAAGTTTTTCGCATGCTGCATTTAGCTTTTATAAATTTAGAGGTTAATTTCTGTCGCTGCTCATTTGATATTTTTAATTTTGATTAAAAAAACAAATAGTTTTTTCCAGGATATAATATTAATGTTGCTTATTACCAAGGTGAGATGTCCGATGCTATATATCATTTGCGACTTCTGTAAGGCCCGCTCGTTTTTTTTTTTCATTAGGGGTCTAATAGTCCACCTGACATATGACATTTAATATCATAATATCTTATTTTCAGAAGATATCTTTTAATAGTTATCTATACCGATTTTAAATTTTGTATCAAGTATAGTGCCACCAACTTTGACGCATTGACATTTTTATAAATTCATCATCATTACAGTCCTTCACAAATCCAATGCTACACATAGGCCTTCCCCATGGTATGCCACAAAGGACGGTCCTGAGCCACCTGTAACTATCGCCTTCCTGCATGTCTTACCAGGTCGTTACTCTATTTAGTGGTGGGGTCACCCTACACTTTCCCTACCGGTACGAGGTTGCCACTCGAGAACCTTTCTTTCCCATCAGTTGTCGGTTCTTCGAGCTATATGGCCGGCCCATTGCTACTACAGCTTACTAATGCGTTGGGCTATGTCACTCTGGTTCTACTGCGGATATATGCGGATCCTCATTTCTGAGCTTCGTCATACATACGGCCAGCAGTAAAGGAACACGTCACAAATCCTTAACTCGTCTCTGGTAACACGCACTGATTGTACAATCTCGTTTTCAAGTTTTGAGATATATCGAATGAGAATATGTGTCGTAATCTCTCGGTCGGAGTTGAACTTATTTCTTTATATATATATATATATATTGTTTAGGCGTTTGACTCAGCGCATCGCCCGATGGTGTGAGGTGACGTGCGCGCCGCCGGGGGTATGCCGCTTCCCGGCGTTCGGCCTGGTGGGCTAGCAACAGTAGCTTGTTGACCGCAGCGGCTCTGTCAACTAGAGTATCATTTGCGACCGCTGGATCAGTAGCGCGCGGCCAGTTTTTGGTTTTGGTGGTCTAGAATTTGAGTAATTGTGCGCGTCTAATTTACTATTGAATATTTGGGTTTCGTGTAGACAGCCTCGAATTGGTTTGTCTAAGTTGTACGTTTCGTGACAAGAGGCTTGTATTGAATTTGAGTGATTAAAGTAACTTCGTTTGCAAGTAATTTACGTCAATTTGTATAGTGATTGCGTTTTGAAGGGCATTTGCAATCTTTAATTTGCTTGAGTGGCCTGTTAATATCGTAAGAAAGAATCTTAGTTGTTGTGGGGAACACGAAACTTTGTGACCCGAGAGAAGGTCGCGTTCGGTTTCTAGAAATAATTTGTTGCCAAGTGAAAACGGAAGTTGAACTTTGATCCACCGTTCATTAGTTGTGCCTTGTGTCACGTGTTTAATTAAGATTAACAGGGATTTAGTTGAGTTTGAAGTTAATTAAATGTACAATAAAGTTGATGGATTGAAGTAGTGTACAATAAAGTTGATAAACTGAAATAATGAAATGAAGTCAGCAGTTTTCCATTGGTGACGTCCGCTGGAGTGATACCACATCGTGGGGCAGCATCGGACCAGGCCGCTGCCCGATCACCTCACTTAAGGTCAGGTCACACATATAAACACTACTACACACTACTTACATGTACCTCACTTATCACCTGACTGGTACTCTGTGGTCAACCCTACCTCCTGAAATAGGTAAGTGCTTGCTTACTTGTCAGCCGTTTTTTGAACATTTATCCATAGGCCGTTGGGCCCCGTCCTTTGTTGCCCGTGGATGGGATTACTCATGGGCCCTAGTCCAGTCAACCTTTGTCGGGGCAACTCAGGGCGTGAACATATATATATATATATATATATCTTTATATATAAAAATTACGTGTCACATTGTTTGTCCGAACTCCTATACTATTGAACTGATTTCAATGAAATTTTGTGCAGTTTGATCCAACTTGAGAGATAGGATACTTTTTATCCCGATAAGTGACCTTCAATATGTTTTTATTGCGAATTTAAGGATTTTTTCATAGGAAGGGTCGTCGGAAAGGGCAGAACAACGTCTGCCTGTCCAGCTAGTATATATATATATATATATATATATATATATATATATATATATATATATATATTTATATATAGAGTATAAGTGGTTGCTGTGGCCCATAGACATCTACATCTATTCTCGAATCAAAATGCCGATGTGTTGTCAGCCGTGAGGACTAAGATAGATTGCGTCTTTTCCAGTAAAATGGGTCTCCGGTTCTTTACACTCAACATACGAAACACAGCAGCATTGAGCTGCTATTTTATGCCGGTATTCTGTGTGAAACGTGGTACTTCCTCGGTTGAGCCAACCCACGTGCTACAACTATGCTATTAATATAGCTGTAGCATGACTCTACCACGTTTAGTAGGACTATTTGTCCCAGATAAACATACTCTTAAACAACTTCGAGCTTAGTGCTCCCAACAACTGCCGGCATAGGTGTGATATGGAAGTTACACATGATCATTTTTGTTTTGTATATGTTCATCTTAAGTTTTTTTTTAAAAATCGTGAACGTTGCGTAAACACGTAAACACGACGTAGCTACCTACATAAATAACTGCCGAAGCGAATTTTTAATCTCTTAATTGACTGTACTCTTACTTCAAATTTAAGCACTGGTAATGCACCTCCAACCAGCTGGCGTAGTCCACCCTTGCTTTCCAAAATGTACGAAGCAGTAAAATAGATGAAACAAACGAAATTCCTGATGTTTGATTCCAGTTTTAGGATAACAACAGCCTTAATAGTAATAATAATAATAATTTATTTGCTCAGAAACGCAATACAGCTTATAAGCTGGTACAAGTTTGACAGAGCGCATATGTTTCGCCATAGTGAAAATGCAAATAATATATTGAATTTCATAATGTTATAATTAAATAACATTTCTATCCATGCTATTAATATAATAATTATTACCAAATATGTCAACATAAATGTTGAATAAAATAAAATTTGATAACTATATTAATTTATGATAGGGAAAACATTTCTGTTTCTTAGCTCTTTGGCTAGTTTTTACTCCACATACGGGCCGAAGCCAAGTAAATGCAGCGTGGAGTGAGTATTTATGTAGGTGGTGTGTTCTGGGTAGTTATTTCATTTTCTTCCAATTGCATGGATTTTCTTACAATTCGTCAGGTATTTAAAATTGCGGCTTTTTGGAGTATAATGTATGTTGAGTCTTTCAGGTCTATTAATTTGAGGCTATTGTGGATATGGTTGGGTATAACGCCCGTGGTGGAGACGACTATGGGTACTATATAAACTTTATTTTGTCTCCAAATTCTGGTCACTTCTTCTTTAAGTTCTGCATATTTGCTTATCTTCTCGCCTATTGTTTTTTCTAAGTTGTGTGTTGGGTATTGCAATATCTATTAGGTAGGTGATTTTACTTACTTTATCGTGTAGTGTTATGTCTGGTCTATTATAGTGAATGGTCCTATCGGTAAGTATGGCACGGTCGTAATAAAGTTTGTGTGTAGGATTTTCTAGAACAGTTTGTGGTGTATATTTGTAGTAGGGTGTGTTTGTGTCTTGTATAAGTTTATGTTTGAGTGCTAGTTTTTGATGAATGATGTTTGCTACTTGGTTGTGTCTGTGAGTGTAGTCTGTCTGTGTGAGAGTTGTACATACCCCTGTTATGTGTTGTATGGTCTCTGATTGGGTGAAGCACTTGCGGCGTTTATCGTTGGTTCGTGGGGTCTTTAATGACATATTTCCTGTAGTTTTTAGTGTTGATGATTTTGTCTTGTATTGCGATGATAAACCCTTCAGATTCCGGGAATAGGTTGCCAATTTTAAACCATTTATTTGATGCTACTGTATCTGCATGTGGTTGTTTCAGGTCATGTGGGTGTCATCCGTTTAGGACTTTCTTTTTCCAGTCCTCTAACTTTTGTTTTTGTGGGTCATTTACATAAACAGATACACAACACAATAACACTTTATTGTGTTGTGTATCTGTTTGTTCATTTAGGTTAAGTGGAGTGTAGTTAAAATCATTTAGGGCTACTACATTATGGATGTCACTAGTGCGAGATTTATTGTGAAAGAATGTTTTGAGGATACTAATTTGTTTCTGCCAAAGGTGATGAATGTCTATTAGGCCTCTCCCTCCATTTTGTCGTTTTATTGTGAGTCTTTCTATTGCGGATTTAGGGTGTAGATTATTGTGTTTTGTAAGTGTGGTGCGTGTGGTTCTTTCTATTTGTTGGATGTCAGTTTTAGACCATTTAACCACTCCAAACGAGTAGGTTAATATTGGGATCGTGTAGCTATTTAATGCTTTAATAAGATGTTTTCCAGCGAGATCTGTTTAACATACTGCGGTTAATCTCCGTTTGTATTCTGTATTCAGTGTGTGTTTAATTGCTGTATGGTCTCGTCCTTTGAGTTGTTTGTATCCTAAATATTTTTATAGATGTTTGGTTCCATAGCAGTGATTGTATCAGTAGTGTTATTTGTATAGTCGCCTGGTATTATTTTGCCTCTTATTATGTGTAGTGTTTTGCATTTATCTAGTCCAAACTGCATGTTGATGTCTTTACTAAATTCTGTTATAGTGTCTATTAATTTTTTCATTTCTTTTTCTGTTTTTGAGTATAATTTAACGTCATCCATATATATGAGGTGTGAGATAGTGATATCTTCTGTGGTGTTGTCTTTGAGTCTATATCCAGCATGGCACTGATTCAGTAGGTAAGAGAGAGGGTTCAGTGCGAGGCAGAACCATAGAGGACTCAGGGAGTCACCTTGATAAATACCTTTCCTAATAAATATCTGCCGAGTTCTTACGATATTGTCGTGGTAATTCAATTGGAGTGTAGTTTTCCAGCGGGACATGATATGATGTAAGAAGTCTATTATTTTTGGGTTTATTTTGTATATTCGTAATACTTGAATTAACCAGGAGTGTGGAATACTATCAAAAGATTTTTTGTAATCTATATAGGTACAATGAAGGTTTCTATTTTTTGTGGCGGCATGTTTGTGGACTATTGAATCTATAATTAATTGTTCCTTGCACCCCATGTGGCCTCATCTGCACCCTTTTTGTTCTTCCGCTATTATGTTGTGGTGTTCTATGTGTTTATTGATTTTAGCTGTGATTGCTGAGGTTAGGATCTTGTATATTGTCAACTTATAATTGTACAACCTGTGTTTAAACATATTTATATTGAGCATTTTAATATCTCTAGGAATCTTGTTATATATTCTGTTCTGACACACATACACAGGCAACCTTTCGCATACTTATTCGACCTTGGAATGTCATTAGATATCATTCTGTGAGGATTTCTCATTTTAAAATATTTATCATATGGCCCTAATGCATTTTTTGGGCTATAACTAACTATAATTAATTCTCTGTTTTTGTCCGTAGTGTTGTTCTATAGTGGGATGCTAGGGCAATATCGATTTTATGTATGCGCGATAGGACATAATAGCGATATTTTTGTCGGTTACGCTCCTAACACGTCATAATTACTATATTATAACAAAGAAATTTTACAAATAACTTTATAAAATACTAATATTCTATTAATTATGTTTTTTTTTTTCAGTAATTATCACTATTGCTACGGTCTATTATGCCTCGAAGAGTGCCACGATGAGCCCTCTAGACTTTCCGGCATTTAAGAATCTGGGTGGATTCCTGGAGTTTCTGGGAGTTTGCGTCTTCAGTATGGAAGGCATAGGAGTCACGCTGGCGATAGAAAACAACATGCAAGAGCCAAAGAAGATAGGGCTCGTATTAGCTGCAGGTATTGTTAGAGTTGTTCCGCTGTAAGTGAAATGGTCATTTGTTATTTCTTTCTTCTTCATAAATCTTTGAAAATCCACTGAGGGATATCGGCCTTTCCCCTTGTAGGGGAGAATTGCCTCAATGATAATGTCCTACAGACTGAATTTCCAGTCATTGGCCAGTCACAACGAAAACTAGCCATATGTGCAGGATAGGCTTATTGTGCTCAGTAGCACTCTCTATTCCATCACTCCCATAGTCCGATGGGGTGGTGATCCGAAACGGCCGGAAAAAATCAGGCGCAGGACCTTACCAACTGCATTACGTGATTTCTGCTACTGAGAATTTTTTAACAGAAAACCCTTATTAACTTATATTGGTCCGACCCGGAATTCAAACCCGGGACCATCTTGACTAGAATAGAGTTTACGACCACTAGACGTACAAGACAGTTGCGGATCCGCCTTAATCGTCGCACTAAGCAGGTGGATTAAAGATCATAGAGATAAAATACCAGGCGTAAGCACCTTTGAAGCTGCTACCCGTCGCCAGTCTGAATATTTTACGGCAATAAATAGCGATGTATCGATATATCGATATTTATTTTTAAATATCGAATTCGTATCAATTTCGATATATTTTAAAATGTTGTATTAATGTACAAAACATGAAACAATAAAAGGAGCTACAAAAGCATTCATGGGTGGTTGTAGTTTTTTTTTCGACGTCCAACCGTCAATGATATAAAATTTTTGGCCTTATCCTTACATCTTACAAATGATGACGATATATCTTTATATCGATATTTAACATGCGATATATATCGATACTGTTTAAAAATCGATTCGATAAATATCGATATATTTTTTTCCCTAGTCCATCCATAGTCTGACGTTAATGATATTATTATAACATCATCTATCGGAAGCCCTAATATTTTGTTGGAATTTTTCATAGTTGCCTTTTTTGACACCGATAGGATGAAATGGGGTTGTGAATTTTTTTAAGTCAATAACCACACTTTATAGGCATTTGTAATTTTGTAATATTGTACTGATCAATCGTCACATTCTTCAGTTGTTTGGTTATCGAAAGTCGATTAAGAGAAATTTAATGTCACAAAATGGAAGTGTGCGTTTAGTTTTACCATCAACTGTCAACTTTGGTGGCTGTAAGTTTGACCTTTGCAGAACCGATTTTGATTAAAACTAAATCTTAATTAATGATTTCTTATATTTACGCGAACACTACACATTTTTAAATAAAACTAATTTTACGGATTTTATCGCGTATATTAACTTTTTTTTTCGGGTGCTTTCCAGTCCCCCGTGACCACCGGTGCTGGAAAGCACCCGAAACGTCGGGAATATAAAAAAAAAATAAGTTAATATACGCGATAAAATCCGTAAAATTAGTTTTATTTAAAAATAAATCTTAATTAGATTATTACAATTACGCAACGATTAAAATAGGTTTGGTACCGATGTAATATATTGTTCTCGAGATATAGGTACGAGATTAAAAAAAAATCACTAACGTATATATATACGCACACTGCACACACTTACACGCTACTCAAATTGGTCTTTTTATTTATTCTTAAAAAAATTAAGTTGACCTTATTCGATAAAATTGGACTTAATGCCTCATAACGTCGTGTTATATTAAACTTCAGACTTAATATATGACCCAATACAACAAATTAAAATTGTTCAACAATGACGGGGTTTTCACATCTAACTGATAGAGAAAAAAATCATTTCTTTTTCAGAATTAAAGTAACTTTCATATTTTAATTATGATCTTGACAATCGTATTAGTTGCATGTTTTAGCACAAATACATAGAGTTTGTTTAATAATAGGAATGTCAATTGTCGTGACTATCGTTCTGGTGATGGGCTCCTTTGGATACTGGGGCTTCGGAGAAAGTGCAAGATCCCCTGTGACTGTTAATTTTCCATTGTCACCGTAAGTATCACAACTATATATTTACGACTAGCTGATAACCGCTCGCTTCGCTGGGCGCACGATAATATTTTTTATGACACCATCGCAAAATCCGTTCTTAGTGAGCGTCTACATTGCGAAATGAGTAACTATACTAAATTTCAAGTCAATCGGGTGTATAGTTTAAGAGATCTCGTGATGAGCCAGTTAGTCAGTGGTATTTCGCTTCTATACACGGTTATTTTGCAATAACCGGCTAAATTTGCAGATAAGGTTCATAATAAGTAATATGGTGAAGAAAAATTAATTTAAAAAAAATCTCAAACATTCGGTCCTTTTTATCTTTTAAATTCAAAATACGTAGTAATGCATTATTTTAACTTATTTTTACTGCGCACGAGCACACATTCGCAACGATCGATCGGTAGGTAAAAACGTTGTTGCCTATAAATCATTATATTATAGCCTTATTTACTCGTATTTTCAAAAACTATATTAATGGTAAGTATATCATTATATATATTTTATTTTTTCACTTAAGTTTAAAATTTGGCTACTCTTTGTAAAATAACCCTGTATTTATATAGATAGGATAAGACAATATCTGACCGCATATTTCCAACTTTATGTTCAACTAATTGAACGTTTTATAACGTATAGCGACCACGTAAGAGTAACAATGGGAGAAACCAGAAGTACCTCATGGTTTCACATATTTGGGCCAGTCCACCTGCTAAGCATGTCGATTATGGTAAATCTTGACCTCGATTAAAGATTCCCATGCCTAGACTGTCATGGCTTGATCAAAAAAGAGAACTTCAAGATTGTGAACAGTACGATCTAGGGCTTCATCACCACTTACCACCTGGTGGGATTGTAGTCTAGTATTAGCTTATAACAAGTAAAAAACCATATATGTACTACGCACTATATTTCGCATACCGAACATTGACCCGTAGGTACACTAAACTAAATATTGCGTAAATTGAAGATTTGTGAATTACATAAGATAATTATATATAGGAATAAGTTTATTTAGATTAAAATAAGAGTATTTTATATTAAATTCATATATTTATTTTATATTAAATTGAAGTCTTCGCGCATGCGCGACTGTACTATCTCCCGCGCATTAGCGACGACATAGAGTAGCGCACAATTTTTGTTTCGAATAGCTTCTCTAGTACGTAGTACATATAACTCAATGTAGTCCAATTTTATCACTTTTGTTGTTGAATTTTTTTAATCAAAAATCTTTTTATTAAATTTAATTAAAATTTTAATTAAATTAGGTAGGTGGGATAAGAACCGTGGTAGTTCACGTGATAAGCCCTCCAAGCAATACGCGAGCAACCCGGCTATGAAATTGTTAATTACAATTTAAAGTGCTGATTTAACACGTGGTTTACGGCGAAGGAAGACAACATGAGGAAACGTACATGTATTAGAAATTAAAAAAAATATTTCGAAGACTTTTGAAGGTCACCTACACGCAGCGTGGCGGACTTTTTCTAGCCCTAAAACCTTCTCAGGAATGAGCGAGGGCTGTACCCTGTTTAAACATGATAGAGCCATGCTGCAGCTATATTATTGTTGTAGAACGAATGGGTTGGCTCGACCGGGGTAGGACAATGCTCTAATAGAATACCAGCGTAAAATAGCAGCTTAATGCTGCTGTGTTTCGTATGGTGAGTGTAGAGAACCAGAGACCCTATTTACAGGAAATAAGGCATTCCATCTTAGTCCTCACGGGTGACAACGCATCTGCATTTTGATTCGTCATTGAGGATAGATGTAGATGTCTATGGGCCACTGCAACCACTTACCATCAGGTGGACTGTGTGCTCGTTTGTCACTCTATCCTGTACGAAAAAAACTTTAAGTAGGTACTTGTATTTCTACTTTTGTCTGATTTATTAACATTCTAAATAGAATATTATAAAAATTTTTACGATATACAGCTTCCCTATTGCACTGAAAGTCTTCATGGCGCTGATGGTCTACGTGACGTTCGCGCTTAACTTCTGGGTGCCTTTCGACCTTGTCTGGTACTACATCAAGAAGCGCTACGACCCATCGAAGTACTGGCTTTGGGAGAGAGTATACAGGGCCATTTTTGTAATAATTATCACCCTGACTGCCTTTACATTCCCTAATGTCTCCACCTTCATTGGCTTGGTGAGTATTAGTAACCTTATCATCATCATCTTTACTAAGTCCAAGTACTGACTTTGGGAGAGAGTATACAGGGCCATTTTTGTAATCGTTATCACCCTGACTGCCTTTACATTCCCTAATGTCTCCCCTTCATTGGCTTGGTGTGTATTACTAATCTTATCTTTACTAAGTAAGTCTAAGTATTGGCGTTGGGAGAGATTATACAGGGCCATTTTTGTAATCATTATCACCTTGACTGCCTTTACATTCTCTAATGTCTCCACCTTCATTGGCTTGGTGTGTATTACTAATCTTATCTTTATTAAGTAAGTCTAAGTACTGCCATTGGGAGAGAGTATACACGGCTTTTTTTGTAATAATTATCACCCTGACTGCCTTTTAATTCCCTAATGTCTCCACCTTCATTGGCTTGGTGTGTATTACTAATGTTATCTTTACTAAGTAAGTCTAAGTACTGACTTTGGGAGAGAGTGTACAGGGCCATTTTGTAACAATTATCACCCTGATTGCCTTTACATTCCCTAGCGTTTCCGCCTTCATTGGCTTGGTGAATATTAGTACACTTAAAGTGAAGTCCTTAGGCGGTCAGCTAACGCAGAGTCTGCTACACCTGAGGATGCCTCGTGTAAAGGCGAAACACGTGTCGTGTTATCGTCGATGGTGTGTCTTTCTTAGTGTAATGGTGGTGGGAGTAATGGTGCTGGGAATAGTTTTGACGGGGATAGTGCACGCAATTGAGGGAGGGCGGGTCGAACTCTTCAAACTAGGTAAGACACATCATTTTATTTTATTGGGCGGATATTGGCAAAGTAATTTTATCCAACCTTTAATATAATATAAATTCTGTGAAAGCGTGTTCCTTCCCCGGTCGAGCCGACCGATTTATTCTATTACTTTAATATAGCTGCAGCATGGCGTTATCACGTGACTTTGAATCTGTACCCATTATCATTCTATAAATTATGTTGTAAAAACTAGGGTTTTTCGTTTACAGCTTGGTTCTTTCTGTCTATCGAACATGGGCTTCATCTATCCGGCTTTCATTGAACTGTGCCTGGATTGGGAGTATCCAGGACTTGGTTTCATGAAGTGGAGACTCATAAAATTCATCCTCATCGCGCTCTTCGGCTTGTTTCTCTGTTGCTTTGGAACTTACAGTAACGCCAAAGAATTGATACGGCAGTCCTTCTAAATATATCTATTGTTGCATCGTCATGGTAATGATTCAAGAGACTATTGATCTTTTCCTATTACGTGTTTCTAAAATACCGTATGATATCACTAAAATTGAAAATCTTTAAAGTATTTAATAGGTAGTCTACTCTATCAAATGAAAAGTATAATGAAGTTTTCCAGCTTAAAAACGGAAGCATAAATATTGCTGAAACTCAAGTGGCAGGAAAAACAGCACCATATTTAGACCTTTAGCACATATTGGGAAAGGGAATAAAAGTTGCATAAAGAATGCTTTGAGAAAACGGAATATAATAATAAGCGAATTTTGGAAAACACTGAAAAACAGATTGAAGATCCGTCGAAACTGTTTCGTAAATCAAAAATGGTCTAGGAATGTCATGAACTTAGACAAATTTGATTGAAGTATTTATGATTATAACGGGTTATTTTTAACGTTTGAGACAAAATAAAGATCTGTTTATCTAGTTAACCTAAGTCAGTATTAACTTTGCCAGTTACATCACTTTTAAAACTATTTATTTAAAATTGTTTGATAGTAATTTGTAAATTAGTAACACAGAATACGGAATTGATACGGAATTTGCTACGGAAGCCGTAGCAAAAGTTATACTGGCAACACAGTGTGACTCATAATGAAATATTTTGCAGTGGTAGAATGCATTGGTAATTTTTGATAAATCCAAGTTACCAGAACTAAAGGAGTCCTAAAAGTGCAGAATAAAACTATAGAAATCTGTAAATCGTTTTGTTATGTCAAAAAGACTGTCGGCATTCTGCGCCTTTCATGTTTATAGTTTTGCAGAACACTTTAACACTGTATTGTTTACTAATGTATAAAATATTTAATTTTAATCTCGTATTTTATTTAAGATACTTCTCCGTTATTGTTTTTTTATTTATTAGTTTACACAAATATATTGTCTACATAATGGTATTTTGATGAAGTATTTTATTATCTTCACCCAGCAAGTCGATTTTGGCGTAGAAAGATATGGTTGTTTGCATAATTTGTATGGCAGCATTTTCGAAATATGTGGCAAAATGGCTTGACGTCTAGTACTGCCTGTCAAGCGTAAGGAGTCAAATCCTTCCTACAATCGGAGGGTCCTATGTCCTATATAAGACTTTAACGGCCTTATGAAGATGAAAATAATAAAATTCAATGTTATCCTTATTATCAACAAGATAACATTAAAATATATTCAGAATACATTTTATTTAATCGTAATCATCGTCATCGTTACTAGCCTTTACAAGTGTCCACTGCTGAACATTGGCTTAAGCTGTGACATTATGTAGGGTTGGTAATCGTTATAATAAAATAATAAATTCAACCATTAAAAGTAATTCACAAAATATCTATATTCCATACCCTGTTTAGAATATAGATATTTTGTGCATATTTATGTTAAAAACTTCTACTCGCATGTAATTCATTCATTATTAATACATAATTTCATTAAAGTTAAGGTTACGGCCAATATACGTCCCACAGCCGGGCACAGGCCTCCTCTAATTTCTGAGAGGGTTTAGAGCAAGGAAATCTCCGCCGCGCTGCCCCATTGCGTGTTGACGAACTTCACATGTATTGTCTTCGAGATATATTTTTTTGTTGTTTCAAAAGCTGCATGAGGTTGTCTCACTATGATTTTCCTTCACCGCCGCGCTCGTGGTAAATCAGAACTTAAAATTGCAATTACCCGGTAGGTGGCGCTGTTGTCGAGATACAATCACCCATGTGAAGCCGGGGCGGATCGATAGTTAATAATAAATAAAATGAAACATTCATTGTTTAGGTTCATAATAATAATGTCCTCCAGACCGAATTGCGGTTATGGCAGCCAATCTCCACGGAAACTAGCTGGCGGCGCATGACAGGATTATAGTACCCAAAAGTATGCGCAAGCACAGGTGCACTCTATTCCCTCAATCTCATAGTCAGGTGGGACGGTAAACAGATATAACCGGACAGAGACAAGGCGCAAGACCAACAGCTTTACGTTCTTTCCGAGGCATGAGGGCAACATCCTAACTCCGAGCAGCTACTATGAATTTCTTGATGGAAAAACACAATAACTGATTCTTTCTGACCTAACCCGGGATTTGAACCCAGGACCTTATGATCAGCAGTCGCACTACTACAACCACTAGACCAACGAGGTAGTCAACCTTACGTTCATACTGCTAATGTCAAACGCTATATAGTCTGTAGTCAAACCTTGAACAAATTATCACACGAATTATTATATACGAACAAATTACTGAAACTTCAATACAATACTCTTTATTGCACACCAAGAAAAGATAAAAATGACAAAAAAACAACTATTGACGTAAATACAAAAGGACGGCCTTATTGCTACGCAGTAATCTCTTCCAGACAATCCAGATCAATCCAGAGCTTCGTTGAATGGTGTAATCAAGATTTTACGGGATACGTTAGAAGTAAATACTTCTCCATATTCTTCAATTGTTAACCGTGTAGTGGCAGTGTAAGAATATCCACTAGCCCATATCGTTCCGGGGGTGTCTTAAATAGCAACAGAGAAAAACAAACTATAAGACGGTTAGCAGCGTTTTTCTAATAACTAAAAACTGTAAGTCTTTGAGACAACCCCCTAGGGAAGGCCTATAGATAAGCTATAATGGTAACGGTAACGGTATTCTGCAGTTATTGTACTTAGGTGTGCCGAATATAAGCGTGGAAGAACCTCCACAAAATGTCAACAATAGTCAGGAAAAACGTTAAGTAGTGTTTATTGTGTAGCGTGTAGTGGGGGTGAAGAATATCCACTACCGTATATCATCGCGTGGGTGTCGCTAGAGGCGACAGAAGGAAATGTAGACAGGAGGACAAACGAGCATGCAGCTCAGTGATGAATACCGATGGAATAACAATGAACACCAGGGGAATTGCAGTTGCGTTGCAGGCTTTTTAAAAAATACAGGCTCTTTCTGATAACAACATAAATACTATAAAAAACTGCGATTGCCAACCCACTTGCCAAGCGTGACAATTATGGCAAACATGAGCTTAGCCCACCATGAGCAACGACACAAAGAAACAGCCCCCAGTTCTCGACGACCCCACTATTCCTTGCTAGGTGTCGACCATTGTAGCGGCGGGGCAGGGAGTGCTAAGATTCTCGGGTGGAATGAAGAGAAGCTCCTGGAGCTGGAAGAAGAAATAGAACATTTGCGTTGGGCTATTATAGGAGAGCCGTGGTAGCTCAGATGGTTAGCACTCGCGGTAAATTTCACAATACGCGAGCAACCCGGGTTCGATCCCCGGCGGCACCAATGAAATTGTTAATTGCAATTTTAAGTGCTGATTTACCACGTGCTCAGCGGTGAAGGAAAACATCGTGAGGAAACCTGCATGTCTGAGAAAAAGAAAAAAACATATTTTCGAAGACATGTGAAGTTCGCCAACACGCATTGGGGCAGCGCGGCGGACAGTTCCTTGCCCTAAAACCCTCTCAGAAATGAAAGGAGGCCTGTGTCCAGCAGTGGGACGTATATAGGCTGTAACTTTACTTTACTTTATTATAGGATTGTCTAAGGTTCTAAAAGACGGAGGACGCGATAATCCTCGAATACGGCAACTTGTCTTATCACTGAGAGAGCAACCATCTGTCCCAAGGATTTATCGTCCCTAAGTTAACAACGTTGTAAAGGTTATTGACAAGGATTGCGTACCTTATACTCAGAATCAACAAACGGTATTTGTAGAAGGTCATAGAGGTCATACAGATATCAATTCCGACACATCCCGATGAGAAGGCGGAAGAAATGTATGAGGATATCACACAGTCAGTAATTAATTCTTGTATACGCTTTTACAACAAAATCCCAGAAAATATACAAAATGTGACTTCCTCCAAGTTTTAAAACTTTATTAAACAAAGATTGTATAAAAAGGGTTATTATATTAAATAAAACCAGCCATCTGCTGTCTACAGGCTTTGGCATTATTTTATAACCTCTGTTTAAAGAGCATCAATAGAATAGAAATGGAAATATAACATTTAATATTTCTTTGATGAAAACCTTGTAGCCAATGCCACAATAACTAAAAAAATTAGTTAGTCTGTGGTCTGTGACAGATACACTGTACTGTCATAGTATGGAGTGTAGAGTAGAAGGAGAACCATCTTATAAGGAGCGAAGGTTGAAAAAGTGTCCTACTATTTACTGTAAATAGAGGTTCCAAAACCTACCACAATAGCGCTGGCGTCTGAAAAACTACGATATGAAGATAGCTGTTATGAACGGAGTGAAGTCAGCTGAATTCAAATATTTCATGACTAGAGTAGTTAGTAAAACGCTAATATACAAAATCTCAACTATTTACGTAGTACAAAACCAAGCGGATTGATCGGTCCTTATTTATTTCTCCATCTTATTCTAAATACTTTTGGCGCTTCTTTTTTAATTTATCCTATGCTACTGCAGCGCCACCCTTATTGGACACGTTTTTAGGGACACTTTTCATATACAGAGATGGTCCTCCTTCTACTCTACACTCCATATGTCATAGATGACATGAGGTGAAGGCTCAGAAGAGCTAGATCCCAGAGCTTTAAAGCCAGTTATAAAAAAGACATGAGGTGACAGGACATTACCAGTGCTACCAAATTATTTTCCCAGAACCTGCCGTGATTAAAGTGAAAATTTGCAAATAGTGCTCTTGCATTATTGCTAAATTTTAACTAAACTACCACATTCCTGCAAAATTTCGTATACTTATTAATAAAACAAGAAATTACTATAGTGATTTTATTCCTCTTCTTTTACGCTTATTTCCCTTATCAACTTACAACTCGGCTCAAAATACAACTATACAATATCCTTACCACTACCGTTACAGACTATCCAGTTGCCTTTTTTATGGGATTTTCCAGTTATTAATATTAAGGAAGTCGCTGTTTAAATTAATGTCGTAAATATTTAGAATACTGAGGAGAAGCTTTTTTTTTATAGGATAGGATAAGG